AGAAGAACCCGTCCAGAGGACCTACACAATTTTTTTCTTTGATTTTTTACCTGGATTACTGAGATGCATCAGGACAATATTTCTAGAGATTTTTCATGAGTGAACAGGGCCGATCTGCAGAGCTACAAAATTACACAAATTAAAACATTTGCATTCAAGTATAATGCAAATAATACTGAATGTGTTTCATTTAGCAGGTGCAGCAGACTGCAGTCTGTCATGGTTAAAAGATGCATTTTAGTTTTATACTTTCTCTATAGGTTTAACAATAAATTCTGTTTGTACCACTGATTATAATTAATTGTACACGGTTATTCAGCTCAATAAGAAAAAAGTGACGCGCACAACTCTAATACATAAAAGAGAGAGTAAAAAAAGGGGAGAAATCCCATTTTTATGTTATTCACCAAAAACACGTACATTTTTTCACTTTCATCAGCTACATCAGTGTCTTAACTCCCTAAATACTGAGCAGCAGGTATGTGTCGTCCTCCCTCTGAACTTACTCCCTAATCCTTATGAAATACTAACCAGCTAAAAATAAAACAGAAGAAAATGTGTTTATGCTTAAARGGTCAAAGATTAACAAATGTAAAATATTTTCCTTATAAATGGGAATGGCTTAATCTAACAAAGTGGAGCAAATCCTAACTAACCCGATGAGTAGATGCTCCAGTTCTGAAGTCAACCACAAATTTAAACCTCAATAAAGGAAGAACACAGAATTAATCTTCCCTCTGGGAACCTGGAATATCCCATAAATAAAAGACCAGCTCCACTTCACCCAGACCTCCAGAGGATGACAGAAAGAAAAACAGAAAACACGCAAAGAACCAATAAAGTCTTTTTATCCATTTTTCAATAAAAAATACATTCATACAGAAACTATTTTACAAAACAATTTCAAATGAAAAAAATCTTGTTATGCCATAAAACGAACAAAAATAGAGCCTCATATTTTCCATGTGTATCCAATAAAGTTTTTTTTTTTCTAGCTAAAGACAGGACATATTTGCAGGTCTTTGAAAAGTTAAGTGAAAGAAATGACATTAAAAAGAGGGGAAACGATAACGGGCATTAGAATACAAGAATGTGACGATTCAAGTGTCCAGAACAAGTCACAGGTTTTATTTGAAAAATGACAGGCCACAGGTGTAGCTCATGATGCCGTTTCAAAWTATGAATTGATTTTTTTTTCTTTTCCATGAAACAAAAGTTACACAAAAAAAATGGAGTGCTCCTATTTTACAGTTATTCTTCATCCTTTTAACCTTTTATATTAGAAACAGTACACTGCTTTTGGTCCCAAACCCCATTCAAAATATATGCTTCYTTACAAAACCTTTAGTTTACAACGTAATGCAGCTTTGCATTTTAGACATTTCTCATTGTGAAAAGAAGCCTTACTAACAGATTTGTTCATTTACAACAGGTCCAACTGCACAGGGCTTAAACAGGGGAATAAAAAGATTTCATCAACCTGCTGAGAATTTGTGTGAAACTCCTGAAACTTAAAACATGCAAACAGTGAGAAGTGTAAAAACAGACATCTGGTCCCAGTCCTATTTCAATTTAGATACAGAAGAAAAATTTTTAAGTTAAACCCAAAAAAACAGCTCAGCTGAACTCGTTAGASCGGTTGTGGTACCTTTACAGTAGGATTAAATGTTGTTTAAAGTAAAAAACATTCCGACTCACGGCGAGACGAAACAAAACATACGTCCAAACAGACTTGTGATTCAGACTGCTGACAGGACACACCACGTTCTCTGGAGAATGTAAGCGTTCGACACGTCACCTGACAGAAACGGCCCTGATGTTTATGTTTTCCTTTGCGGTAAATTCTGTATTGTCACTACAGTCGTGAGTGACCTCAACGTTTCACGAGAACATGTTTCCAAGGTTCTGTACCTTTGACAGCAGGTTATAGATCATCTGCAGCGCAGCCACATCGTCTCGTACTACATAGTAGTAAACCATATTAAAACGGTGATAAACYCTACAATTCTGTCTCCGATCTGGGTCATTTAGAAGAATATGTCAAGTCTGATATATTTGATGGTATATTTGGAAAAAAAACGAGCAGAAATGTAAAAATGGCAGTCATTATGAAGCTGATACATTTTCTTATTCAAGAGTTTAGAGAAAATTTTGTGAGAGGAAAAAAATAATAAAAAAAGGTGCAACTGTATGGATCAGAGCCTTTATAAAGCTAATTATTAAACGCATTCCTGCTTTAGCAATGGCCGTTTGGTGCGTGAGTGTGTGAGAGTGATCTTTTTAACAGGACAAGGCCACTTACATAAGGCATCAGTAAGGTCAACAGTGCATTTACAGATAGAACAAAAAAGCAAATGTGAAAGAAAAAAAAGAGCAAAAATCCCATATTTAAGACAGTTGCCGAATGATAGTGGTTTCCCCAATGTCTCAAGAAAAAAAAAAGACTGCCTTATGTGATTTATACAATACTATGATGCTGAATATGATGAAGGTAGCTGCACTTCAACGGAGTTTTGTTGTCCTATAAGCAAACAAGTGAGCAACACATCCCCAGGTCCCATGCAACGGCTGTTATAATGGCAGTAACTGTTTTCTTTTTTTTTCTTTTTTTTTTTCCTTTTAAGATACAATGCTTACACAATGGACAACAAAATGAGCTTTATAGCATGTATGTTCTGAGACAGGCCAAGTAATACATTGCACATTTAACAGCTGCACTAAACAAAACAACTTCTCACGGTTTGGGCAGGAAGCTGGTGTTCCGCCTCCTGGCAGGCAGGGGGCGCCCTCTGGATTGTCTCTTTCAAAACAACCCCACCCCGCATTTTCCATCACAAACAGACTCAATCGACACAGACAGAACCTTTTGCGTTCATTCATTCTCTGTGGGACAACGGATGACCTCCCCCTCCCCCCTCCCCCAAAAGAAAATCTCATTTGTATAACATCAACCCGTCCATGTCATTCACTCGCAGGCTCCATCCGCTCCACACAGCCAGCACAGGGATCCAGTCACAGGCACTCACAGTCCCATGCGTACAGGCAAACACACTTTCAATGGAGGAATGGTAACCCCCCCACACACACCCCACCCCTGGAGTCCCATAATCCTCCAGGAAACACACACAAAAAAGCGTTGAACACCATACAGAAGAGTCTCTTCCCATCTTCTCCAGCCAAGATCGTTCCCTCCCTCCAATTTTTTTTTAACCAGGTCTCTCTTTTACCGTCCGGCTCCTCTGTAAAAGCCTTTCAAGAGCAATCACCACAGCGAGGTGTTGGAGGCACTGAGTACGGTGCAAATAATAGCCTGCGTTGCTTCGTGGTTGTTTTTTTTTTTCTCCACTGACTGGAACACGGCGGTGCTCTTGTTAATGCTCCCAGGACACACCGGCCTTGCTGATCCCCCCCAAAAAACAGGTCAGGACAATCAAGCAGACTCATCCCTCAGAGCTCTCAACATGGAGGCCATCTTAGATGTGCCTCTTCATGTGCAGTGCCAGGTGATCGGAGCGAGAGAAACACCTGGCAGAGAGAGAGAAAGGAAGAGAAAAAGACATTTGTTTTGTTATATTACTGCGCACAAACAGTGTGGAGTAAATTAGAGTAAAAYGCGTAAAGAACCAGAAAAATGTACGAATTCTGCAATGGTTACTTCTTAACTAATGTCCTGATGCATGTCAGTAATCCAGGTAGAAAAATCCCCCTCAAAACTTTAAGTACATCCTCCGAATGTTTCGTCTCTCCTCCAAGAGACGTCTTACTTCTTGGAAGAAGTCTCTTAGTGGACGACCTACTTAATTTTTTTATTTTATTTGGATTCAATAGCCTATATGCCACGGACATCTCCCAGCACTTCCGGTTCACGGTCAACACAGTGTTAGCGAAAGATTTTTTCACCCGACAACGACTCTTAATGATCTCCACAGTACAGAATTAGCATATTACATGTACAAACATTAACACAGGAGACGTACAGGTCCAGACAAGTGGAAAAAAAATCACTCCAAAGTGGATTAAAGCCATAAAACCAAAGGAAAGACGTTCCTGTTTATGGTTCCAGAATTTAGCCTTTTTTGCTATTCCTTGGCTGATTGTTCTGTGAATTTTTCACGTAGAGCTGTGACACTTATATTGTTGGAAAGAGCAGAGTCTGGGCTTTAAATCGATGGGCTACTTGTATGGTTTGGATCGTTTTCCCCGACGTTAGTGAACTGAAAACGTAATGATTATCAGGCGGAGGTTCTGCTGCTCTCGGTGCTCGGGGGAGGAGTGGGCGCGCTCGTCACTCGGCTTTAGTCTACGCTGTAATATACACTCTAACAAGGTTTTACTTTTGCATAAAACTCATGACAAAGTTGCATAAAAACATTTCATATAACAGAAACGTGCACACGCACCTACCTTTGTACCGGCTGCTGTGTTAGCTTCCTGCTAGCTGTGAGGAGGTCTTTCCTCTCTCATCTTGGCAGTAAAAAGGGGATAAATGTACATTTCCCTTTTGTAACCTCCATCTTCTCATTTCTGATGCTGACTCTTGAATATCCTCAGGTTAGAAATGCTGATTACAAACRCAAGCGTGAGCTTTTAAAGATCAGTTTTCCCTGTAATGCTATGATCCACAGCTGTCACCTCCTCATCWARAGGAAAAAGGATAAAAACTAACTACTCTATCGTACCTGCTGGTTAGTGRACACAACGACACACAACAGAACTCAYGTTTTATACCAGTAGATAACAAATGCTTTAACTTTTGWGACTTTTTCACAGAGTAGTACTAGGAGCTCACTCTAAAAACATAGGCAGTAAGCAGGGAGTGGAAGGGAGGAGCGTGGCAAAAATTTTACYGGAAATACRTCATTAATGACCGTGGCATTTAGGCTATTAACTAACATTAAAACTAGGCCTCATTTTGATTTTTTTTAAAAACTGCATTATAAGTTATGCCCCTTTTCCACTAGTGCCACTTAGTGTAGTGTCGGTACGGTCAGGATCGGAACGGATCAGTTCGGGTGCTTTTCCATTGACGTTCCAGTCCGGTTCCAGTGGGTGTGTTTTGGGCGGCTGGTGGAGGTGGTTTTTTTGGTTTTTCAAAAAAAGAGTTAATGCGCAAAATGAGAGATGGAAACACATTTGCCGAATAAGTTCTGAAATTTAAAAAGATTGCTAAAAATTCGAATTAACGTTGGACACGACTAATGTCGCTGCTACGATTGAAAAAAAATGGCGCCTCGAGTTGTTGTAAAGGCAGCTCGGATGCAACCAGTGACTCCACCCCCTAGCCAATCAGTGACGAACAGTGCTCTGATGTTGCGCTTTGATGTCATCTGGGACCACTTGGAACCACAATGAAGTAGGTACTTAAAAAAGGGCTCGTTCCATGAATCTGGCCTAATGGAAATGGCTTGGAAMCATACCGACACTACGCTTAGTGGCACTAGTGGGAAAAGGGGCTTAGTTACCAAGACCAGTGAATAAAACGAGAACTTTAATTTGTCAAATCAAGTTTTTTCTATTTTAAAAAAGCAGAAAATAGCAGCAATGTTTGCAGAAAATTTGATACCTGATTTTGAATAAGACAATTTAGATTTTTCAAGCCCCGCCCCCAAATTTTGAACAAGACGTTTTAGATCTTGAGCTTTAAACTGACCAGCACTCTTACCTGTCGCAGTGACTGCATTTAAATGGCTTGGCTCCAGTGTGCTTCCTGAAGTGTCGGGTGAGTTCATCACTTCGTGCAAAGCGCCAATCGCAGCCCTCCCATGAACACCTGTAAGGCTTCTCACCTATTTTAAAAAAATAAGGAGAAACACTGGTTTAAAATGGGTTTTAAAGGTTCTTACATAGTTTTTGATAAATGGTATCTGCAAGTTCATAGTATCTCTATATCACAATGTTTAAACCTGCCAAATATGAGCCAATATTTACAGTGCATGATGGTGATTTCTGGAAAACTTGATCCTAAAGTGGGCTGAGCCAAAGACAAAAACAACCCTGTGAGTCTCAAGACCTGTGGTATGCAGCTGTGCAGAGYTGCTCCAGTGGAGAGCTTATGTAACAGGGGAGGGCAGTTTGAAGGGAAAACAACAGTTCCTAATGGCTCTGACAGCCATTACCCATGTGCCGAACATGGTCAGAGAAAAATGTGAGGAATGCGACTTCCTTTGCTAATAGGTGGCGCGGCTGTAAACAGCTCGGCAGAGGTCAGAGGTGACGAGGGAAACTGCTCACATCTGAACCCCCCAACAAAACACTGCAAATGTCAGTTTCCCATAATTATCCTCTATCCCCTCTTTTTTATTTTTCCTTCCCTTGAAACTGAATGCAGACAGCCGAGGTTCTGAATCGTTTCCCATGGTGAAATCTGAGAACTGTTGATTTGTTTTCAGGATCCACATCCTCTGGGTGCTGCTAGGCCACAGAAGGACATCCCTCCCCCTCCCCCTCCCCCTACGCACGAAGTCACGTTCCACTGTGTGAATTAGGTCATAGTTAAGGGCTATCCTTCTGACAAACTATTCAAAGTACGTGGAGGTATTGTGCAAGAAATCTGAATCAAAGTTGATTTTGGCAACAGTTTTACAGTGTGTGTGTGTGTGTGTGTGTGTGTGGAGGCGATGGCGTTCACCTGTGTGTGTGCGCTGGTGTGCTTTGAGGTGGGAGCTCTTGGTGTACACCTTCCTGCAGCCGTTGAAGTGGCACCGGTGGACCCGTCTCCGGCCGTCGGGCGACGCCTCGCCGCTCGTCACCCCGGACCTTTCTGCGGTCCTCTCCGTGCCGCCAGTCCTTACTTTCCCGGGCGAGTGCAGCGCAGTCTGTATCCCGCTCCAAACCTGGGCCGCCGACCCGTCCTTGCCGAGCTCCGGCGAGGACGGTGGCGTGCCGATGACGGCGGAGCCCACGTCTTCGCCGCTGTCGCCCAGAATGTCAGTCAAAGAGCCGGAGGCGAAGTCGAGGGTGGGGGAGAGCTCTTCGGAGCTGTCCGAGGCCTCGCTGCTGGCGTCCGAGCTGAAGCCGCCGGCGTCCAGGTGCTGGCTGTCCTGATTGTCTACCTCCTCCTTGATGCGAGGGATCTTTGGGTCGGACTCGTTCGACTTGTCCCCGCAGGCGAGCATCAGCTTGCTCCACAGGTCCTCTTGGTTCTCAAATTTGAGGTCCGTGGCAGAGACGTAGGGCTCGCTCTGGAGGTATCTTTCCAACTCGAGGCATGTCTGCGGAGAGGGAGGACAGGACAACGGTGAGGTCACTGGTAAACAGAGGAAAAAGCTCGTACGGAAACGCCTCTGCTTAGTCAGAAAGTAACCAAAACCACAAATGTAGTCATTTGTTTACAAGAAGCTCTGATGTTCTCATGTGCAGCAACAGGACACAGAAATGCCATGACACTGTATCATCACTGGTCCTACTTCCTCTCTGCCTGCAGGAATTCAACAAGACACAATGTCCTATGCAGAGAATCGTCCAACACACTCTACTGGTGTCTTCTGAGGCCACATCAGGGAACATTACAGGCAGCAACTATCATCCCGAGAGCATGCAAGAACAAGGTGCTCCAGCCTGTAAATGCATGATTGGTTTTGCAAAATAGCGTGTGTGTTATAAGTGTGTGTGTGTTATAAGTGTGTGTGTGTGCGTGCAGAGGTTGGTCATGAAATTTACATATGCTACAGAGACCTCCCTCTTTGGGTTAGAGAAGTGCTTGTAGATCTTTTAAATCTATCAATTATTCAACATAATGTGGATTTAATAATGCATTTGGAGGCAATGCTAGAAATAACATAGCACACCAGGGACTGGGGGGGGGGGGTCTGGTTCATGGGGTCCATAAAGAGCCTGGCATGAATACTGCAGAAGCCACTGTGGATTCTGGGCCTTCGTGTGTGTGTGTGTGTGTGTGTGTGTGTGTGCGCGCGCGTGCATGTGTGTGTGTGTGTGTGTGTGTGTGAGCTCTTCCTTCACCCTCAGCAGTCAGCATGCACAGGCCAGAAATGACATCTGCTAGCAGCTCCGTGCAACTTCCTGTGATGAAGCACTTTTTCTAATTTCAGTCAGAAGTTGCCATCGCAGAGCAGGAAATAGCTGTTGTGCACGAAACGTGGCGGCACGAGCTGAAGTGGCATCGATCTGATGAGTGAACCGAGCTCTCAACACTTTTTAGACATTAAACTAAAACAGAGCAAAGAAGTTTCCCTTCAAGTCTTCTTGGTGACAAGTCGGTTTGTCTGTATCACCTGAGTACTCATGGTCGATCATCGAAATGTTTTATCTTAAATAAAAGCTGTGGCAAGATCCCAGCGCCACATTAAAGGCAGAGATCGGAGGTTAGAGTCCAGACTGAGCGTCACAGGATGCCGTCCCACACGTCAAACCTTTAAGAGTGGCTCATCATCGAGTCTCATCCTGTCCTGGAGCAGGACACCGGTACCTCGCTCTTTAGGATGCAGCCAGTCAGGGACATGTGGTGCATTTAGTGAGTAAACCCAGGTTAGAGCCTGATTCAGGGCTGACCCGTGTCAAAAAGGTCATTTATCAGCAGGCGATGAGAGGAGAGATAAACAGATGAGAGAATGGATGCCATCGCACCGTGCTACATCTGTYACCAGTGTTCACCAGTGTTCACCAGTGTTCTTCTATCTGCACCTGGATGCTACCTGTTGCTGGCTGCGAGGTGTTCTCAGCAAGGGTGTAASTTTAGGTCTACCATTGGGGGGGTTATGCTCTAAAACCCTGCATGTCATTTTTAGCAATTATGCTTAAAACGTAGATAAATGACATTGTAATGTTTTTAATCAGGTCAAAGTTACATAAAGAAAACAAGAGTTGCATCTGTCTACTTAACCAGTTCATTTCTATTGCGTTTGAGCAAACAATGTCATTTTATTGGTGGGGTTATTTTGACTGGATCAAATTATTGTGGGGGTCATAACCCCCCTAACCCCCCCTGCAAATTACACCTATGGTTCTCAGGTGGATTAAACCTCCTGAACCAGAGTCATGGTTGTCAGTGAGGCCACCACCAGAACCAGCTTTAGTTCAGATTTAGCAAATAAAACTATTCCTAACAGCTTCTCCACAGTCTGTTCTTTTGATTTAATGTTTGTGACAAAAAGCTGGAAACGTGTGAGTGAGTCTGTTCCCCCGCCCCCCAAAACTTTTACTCACATATTGGACTTATTTAAAACACAAAAGACTAATGGATGTGTGGGATGATCAGCAGCAGCTGTTTTTATGAAGAGTTGCAGTCCACTGAGGCAACTTACTTTGCTGGTTTTAGTCAGAAATTACTTGCTTTCAACATGAACCATTAAAGGCAATAAACTAAGAACAAAAGGACATGTTGCCCTCTGAGGTCTCAGGTAAACACAGGTCACATGGTTGCTGATGTAAGCTGAACAAACTCAGGTTGATTTAAACTCAAGAGAGATACACAAAACAGATTCATGAACTGTGAACTCATAAACACACAAATTAAATGTACATRTATGACTTTAACTGATTCACAGCTGATTAAAACGTGTTGATGAGAGGATTTATAAATATATATATGAATGTATAAAGAGTTAACTGGTATTTATGTCTACGCTGAGCATGGACAGGATGGTGGGAGTAACTTGGGAAGGGAGAGGAATGCGCCTCGCGTCAGCAGGCTGGAGAAATCCCAGACGAGCTTTAAATGCCTGGGGGGGGGGGGGGGGGGGGGGGGGGCGGCTTGGACCGAAGCCCGAAAAGGTTGGAGAAACGCAGAGACAGAAGAAGACCCCCAGAGCCAGCTCAGCTCAGGTTTCAGCCCGAAACAAGCACAGACCCTCGCTCCACCCGCGCCCTCCAAACCAAAAAACCTCCACCGACTCTCCTGTCATCCAGGGGCCGCCTGGTCGAGCCAAACTGGAGCAGAAACCAGACCCAACTGTCATTCCCTCTTCCAGTCTGTCACTCTCGTGCGCGCGCGCGCGCACACCCACATAGGCAGGAAGGAGACGCGCGGCTCGCCATTCAGTCAAACTGCAGCGCAGCGTGTTTTTATTCCATCACACGCCTCCCAAAGCTGCAGGCATGAGTCGAAATCATCTCCAGGAAGATTTGCATCAGGAAAACCGCCGCAAAAAGCGCGAGAAAACACGTTTTTTTTTTTTTGTTGTTTTTCATTCACAAAGTTACCAGCTTTTACAACCACACGATAACTTTGTAAAAACAAATTCATCATTCTCAGAGAAAGAGAACTGTGTGTGGGGAAAGTGCCCAACTTCCCTAAAAAATACCGACATTGATGTAACTGTTGCTCAGAGTCAGGCTGGAACAGATAACCCTGACATGTCGCGCGCAGCTGTCACACCAAAACACGTTTACCTAAATACAATTACGCAAATTCGTCGCGCTGCTGGTGCGGTTACGCAGCAGCCTTTGGGGCTGCCTCCTGTCASACTGCTTCACATGGAGGGGACACTTCCTTACCTGCTGCCAGTATTCTTCCAGAGACGGTAAAGCAGAAAAGTATCCCGTGTCGTGGACGATTTGGAGCTCCTGGAAGATGCTGCACATCGGTATGACATCCATTTCACCCAGATTCAGCCACAAGAAGCAGAAGCGAATTGGATGTTGGGAAAAAMCCGCAGCTTGTTGAACTCAGAGGGAAGCTGGAGTCTCTGCTGCCTTCGCATGTAGGATGGTCGGGAGTCGCGCACTTCCAGCGGAGCGTCTGAGCGCGTGACGCACCGAGAGCGCACCAACAGTGAACTCAGTAAAAGTCTGTCAGCTCACWGTAAACTTCACCCCCCGATTCAAAATTACGAACAAACACACCCCCATGTGATTATATTACGTAAACCAATCAGCTCTCGGCGGTTTAAGACCCGCCTACTAAAATACGTCCAGCCAATGGCGCGAGCTCTGGCGCAACATCCTGTGATGTGGTTGGCGCGCGGCTGCGGATCCCCATTGGGCGCTATTTTTAGAGCTCTATATAAGAAGCACAACGAGGAAGTGGAGCTCCGAGCTGCTGCTGCTTCAGAGCGCAGAGACGCGCGGTTCTGGTGCGCGTCTGTCTCCAAACCCGAACTGTTTATTTCACCAAACATTAGTGAGGATGGTCAGAGGAAACTTTCCGTCCAGAGGGGCTGGAAAACAGTTCATTTCTCCAAGCTTTCAAAGGTTAAAGAGCTCTCATATATATAT